GGTATAAAAGGGTCGATCTGGATGAAATATGGGTCAGTCCTAATTTAGACTTTGCAGTGAACACACACAAGTAACCCAAGTAAGAACAAGTAAAGATGGACACCAGCTCTGAAGAAGCCGCTCAAGTGATTGCCCTATTGCAGTCGGGGATGCGGCAGTGTGACGTTGCTCGACAGTTGAACCTGTCCCGTTTTTCAGTTCGACAGGTGTTCCACGTTTTCAGCAGACTGGTGGTTATGTTAGAAAACCGGGATCTGGAAGAAAACGGTGCACATCAGAAAGAGATGACCGTTTCATCGTTACGACATCTTTACGAAACCGTTTTACAAATGCTGTTGAGTTGCAACCACAGCTTCGATCAACTCGGAGAACATCTGTAAGTGTTTCTACGATAAGAAGAAGGTTACATGAAAAGAGTTTAACAGCCCATAGACCTGCTAAAGATCCAAAACTTACTGCACAGCATCGCAGAGATCGCCTAGAGTTTGCTCGCAATCATTGCGAGTGGACTCTAAAACAGTGGCGGACCGTACTCTTCTCTGATGAGACGAGGGTCTGTCTCTTCTGCAATGACAGACGTAAAAGGGTCTACAGAAGACAGGGGGAGAGGTTCACACAACTTGTGTACGTTTCCCGGACTCGGGGTGGCCGTGGGCAAGGGTCATTAAATGCTGGTCGGTACATTACTGAAATCCTGGAGGAACATGTGGTCCCGTATGCTGGTTATGTCGGTGATGGATTCATGTTAATGCATGATAATGCTCGTTGCCACACCGCGGCTATTGTACGGGATTATTTACAGGAGGTCGATATCCCTGTTATGCATTGACCAGCACGAAATCCAGACCTTAACCCAATAGAACATCTCTGGGATGACCTAAAACGGCGCGTGCGAGCTCGAGATCCAGCTCCAACCACTCTTCAAGAGCTCCAAGATGCGGTACTTGAAGAGTGGGAACAAATACCCCAAGAGGCTGTTGCGACCCTTGTAAGGTCCATGAAAGATCGCATGGAAGCCGTTATCAAGGCAAGGGGGGGGGTAACACTAGGTTTTAAGAACTTTTTTTTGTATTTATTAAGTTTTTTTTTAAATTATTAATTTGCAAATTTATACCCTGTCTTTTTCTTTAATTTCTCTTTCGTCTCGTTATAAAAGTAAAATTCAATTAAAATTCCTGAAAGCTAATGAAATTACCTTTCGAATGATACCCTTAAACCACAACATTGCCATTGGCCTGTTGTGTTAAAATATTATTTAAATTATTTTTTTCGGATGTGCGATTTTTTTGACGCCGAGTGTATATACAAGAATTGCTCGTAGGTATAAGATTTATATTTTTGTTTTACTAAAAGCTTTTGTTGAGGTGCTTCGAAATTAGGAAATATTATTTTCAAACTTCCTGGTTATTATCACAAAATAAATCGTGTTATAGATTTGTTGTTATCTCTTTTTTATGAATTATAGTTTCTTACGTGTTGGTTATGAAATGTCTAATTATTGTAATAATTGGTTCTGTTACAAATCATTAGTGTTATTAGTTTTGAGTGAATAGGCATGTATCAGCATAATTATGTTGCTTCAAATAGGTACTTCTAATTTGATAAAAAATTCAATAGTTTAAAGTAATAAAATAAAACTGCGTTATATTGTCATCAATGTTGACATAATTTATTTCCCAAAGTTATAAATCAATTAAATAGTTTACGCCAACAAATATAACTTTTATTTTTATAACAATCGTACATAGCGTACAACTGCTCGGGGCAAACGGAGGAACAAGACCAAAGCGACCCCTGCCACGCTATCCGTGAATTTCTGCAATATCAGGGGACTTCACTCTAACCTAAACGCAGTCCACTACCATCTTGAGACGGCGAGGCCGGCTCTGCTCTTTCTGACCGAGACGCAGGTGTCCTCTCCGGCTGATGTCTCGTATCTTTCCTACCCGGGGTACAAACTGGAACACTACTTTGTGCCTGGGGCTGGAGTTTGCGTTTACGTCAGAAAGGACATCTGTTCTCGACGCCTCGGCAGTCTTGAAGGTTCGGGCCTGTCCATCCTTTGGCTACGCGTAGACAGCGACGACCATCCGCGCGTCTACGGGTGCCTCTATAGGTCCCATAGCGTAATGCCGAAACAGACCGACTCTTCGACCACGTCCAAATGGCTACAGATTCGTTGCTACAGCAGATCCCCTCTGCAGAGATCGTGATCCTCGGCGATTTTAACGCCCATCACGCCGAATGGCTTGGTTCACGTTTAACCGATCATGCGGGGAGATCTGTTCATGATTTTGCCTTGGCATATGGTCTGACAGAACTGGTGACTTCGCCCACGCGGAATCCAGACCTGGAGGATCATGCACCTTCCCTGTTGGACCTTCTGCTGACCTCTCACCCGGACGGATATCAGATTTCCATCGACGCCCCTTTAGGCTCCTCGGACGATTGTCTGGTCCGGAGTGTGGTGCCACTCACGCTGAAATCGCGGTTGCATTCTACAGGCTGCCGCCGTGTTTGGCACTATAGGTCAGCCGATTGGGATAGAATGCGGTCTTTCTTTGCATCCTACCCTCGGAGGCGGGTTTGCTTCTCGCCGGACGATCCCAACGTTATTGCGGATTCTGTTGCTGATGTGGTACTTCAGGGTATGGAACTTTTTATTCCTTCCTCTGTGGTGCTAATTGGAGGCAAATCTCAGCCATGGTTTGGTCGCTCCTGTAAAATAGCATCATGCTATAAGCAGGAGTGCTACCAAGCCTGGGCTGACGCATCAGCGTCCCGGGATGTAAACACCAGCGCTATAAAAAAGAAGTATAATTCCGCCTCCAGGTCCTTCAAAAGAGTCATTGCCAAAGCAAAGTCAGAGCACATAGGCAGAATTGGCGAAATACTAGTTCGCCTTCCTTCTGGAACCCGTGCATTCTGGTCTCTCGCCAAGGCTGTCCAGGGGAATTTCTGTCAGTCATCTCTTCCATCTCTGCACAGAGGGGACGACTTACTGGCCCATACCGCAAAGGAGAAAGCCGATTTTCTAGGCTCTTTCTTTGCGTCCAACTCGACTCTCGATGACGGGGGGAGTACGCCACCGACCATCCCGCGGTGTGAGTGCTCCATGCCGGAAGTGCAGTTCACATAGCGCTCGGTTCGCAAAGCACTCCTCTCCCTGGACATCCACAAGTCGAGTGGGCCTGACGGAGTCCCTCCAATTGTGCTGAGGACGTGTGCTCCATAGTTGGCACCGGTTTTAATGTGTCTTTTCCGGTACTCCTACTTCCTAGGCGTTGTCCCAAAATCATGGAAGACGGTTTTCGTCCACCCGATCCCTAAAAAAGGCGACCGCTCAGACCCGTCCAACTACAGGCCTATCGCCATCACCTCCTTGTTCTCCAAAACAATGGAGTCCATTGTGAACTGTCAGCTCATGAGGTACCTTGAGGATCACCAGCTGATTAGTGATCGTCAATACGGTTTTCGCCGTGGTCGATCAGCTGCTGATCTTCTGGTCTACCTAACTCATAGATGGGCGTAGGCAGTAGAGTCCAAGGGGGAGGCATTGGCCGTTAGTTTGGATATCGCGAAGGCCTTCGATCGGGTTTGGCACAAAGCGCTTCTTTCGAAGCTCCCTTCCTATGAGCTTCCCTAGAAATTGTGCAATTTTATCACCAGCTTTCTTGCAGATCGGAGCATCAAGGTCGTTGTAGACGTTGCAAGCTCCGATTACAAGCCTATTAATGCTGGTGTTCCACAAGGCTGCGTGCTATCACCAACGCTGTTTCTTCTGCTTGCTATGCAGATGACAGCACTGGTGATGGTCTGTACACCGGCCGTGCCAATATTTCTCGGGAAAACCTCTCAGAATACCGGGACAAACTTGTGTCTGAAGTCGAATCTTTGCTGAACAGAGTCTCGGATTGGGGGCGACTAAATCTAGTCCAGTTTAACTCTCAGAAGACACAAGTTTGCGCGTTAACCGCTAAAAAGAACCCCTTTGTCGTATCTCCTCAGTTTGAAGGCACTCCCCTTGTTGCCTTAGCTAGTATCGGAACCCTCGGCGTCGACATATCGTGGTCACTTGAAAGAGAAGGCCAAATTGGCCTCTAAAAAGCTTGACGTGCTCAGCAGAGCGGGACAGTATTTCATGCAGCACACCGCCTGCAACTTTACAAGGCGCAGGTTCGGCCGCACATGGAATACTGTTCCCATCTCTGGGCTGGGGCTCCCCAGTACCAGCTCCTTCCACTTGACCGCATTCAGCGCAGAGCGACTCGAATCGTCGACGACCAAGTGCTTTCCGATCGGCTCGATTCAATGGCGCTGCGAAAAAATGTTGCATCTCTGCATTTTCTTTCTCATATACCATGGGGAGTGCTCTGAGGAATTATTCGGATTAATCCCAGCCGCCAAATTTCGTGAACGCACTACGCGGCAAACGTCCCGATACCATCCACACCATCTGGACGCTTGGCGATTCACCACTGTACGTTTCACAAGGAGTTTTCTTCCGCGTACAACCTCTCTGTGGAATAGTTTACCACCGGCGATTTTTCCGGACCGATACGACCTGGGGACCTTCAAGAAAAGAGCTTACTCCTTTCTAAAGAGCCGGCAACGCACCTGCAATTCCCCTGGTGTTGGGGTTGATCATGGGCGGCGGTAGTCACTTAACATCGGGTGAGCCGAATGCTCGTTTGCCCCCTCTTCTATAAAAAAAGCTCAAAAACTCCGTACAACAGTCAACCCGCGCCTGCTTTTGAAGCGCAGTGAGCATTCGCAGCACTTCATCATCATCATCATCTTATACAGACTTTTGTGAAGTTGAGATAGTCGAGCAAAAGAGATGGTGTGTATGTTACCAACGGATAGGTTAGTCATTTCTGATAACATCTTAATTCTTACTCGTGCATTTTATAATACAAGTTTTTTAATAATTCTCACAATTTCTTCTGTAGTCGCTGTGATTAAACGTAAAACTTTATGTATGATTTTATTTGTTTTAGGTATGATTCCACCCACGTCTGGATCCGCCTCTATTAACGGGTATAATATTGTGACTGAAACGGAGCTTGCTCGCAAATCTCTTGGTATTTGTCCACAACACAACGTCCTTTTTCCTGACCTCACTGTCGCCGAACATATTATATTTTATTCACGGTTAAAAGGTGTGCATAAAAACAAAATCCAAAATGAAGTCGACCATTTTGTTAAGCTTCTTGAATTAGAAGCAAAGGTGCGTACTTTACTTTTTCTAAATTAGATGTTAATACCAAGAAAAGTAAAAATGCAGTGTAAATGTTGCATATGTCTGACACTGTGACCGCCATTTTACCTACCAAGCCTGGCGATTGTGGCAAATCTTTGCTTCGATGTCAAACGCCTTTCAATCGATAAGGATTGTACAAGACGAATGAGAAAATCTACTTGTTAAAAATATTTATATATGCTTAATTCGTAATAAATACAATTTCTTTACGTAGATTTTGAATATACCACGGACAAAGGTTAGTGGCCAACTATAAATCCTACATATTTGCGGCGTTTTTATTTAATACCATCAAAACAACTCCCTCCAAATTAAAAAAAAAATTGCATGTATGAACAGATTGTTCAAGAATTGAGAAAAGACTTCTCAATTCTTGAACAATCTGTTTGTACTAAAAGCAAATACTATGCAACATAATGATTTCTTATATTTACGCGAACACTACACATTGAAATAATACTAGTTTTTACGGAATTTATCGCGTATATTTAACTTGATAATTACCCGACGTTTCGAGAGCTTTACAGCACCCATGGTCACGGGAAGGACTGAGATGTTCAACGTCCAGCTGTCATAGTTAACCGCGGTTACCATAGATTAAAATTTAACTTTTGTTCCGATCTACACAGTATGAACTTATGGTATCATGGAGTCTTGCCAACGTATAGAAAAATATCAAAAATTAACGGCCAAATCAAATGTCAAACATCCGAATCAATGCCAGAACCAAAAGCAACCATTGACAAACACAGATCATAGATTAATCGCGTTCTATAATCTGTCAAAACAAACACTGGATGATGCAACAATAAAGGTTTTATCCAAAGGACTAAATTACGCTATAACTCCACGCAGATTACCGTACGAAGAAATTATCTGTAGTGTGGAGGACTGTTTATTTAAAAACAATATGCGGAAAGAAGATTTGGAGGCGATACGTCAAGACATTTCGTCTATGTTACGTCGATGTTCAGTGCCTAAACCGAATCTTCCCAGAGACGAATTTATAGCGTTAAAGAACCTACGCAATAAACCAGAACTTACGATTCTCCGCGCAGATAAGGGAAACGCCACGGTAGTCATGGATACGTCAGATTATAATTCTAAAATACAAGAACTTTTGTCGGATGTAAGTACTTATAAAAAGGTTAAAAACGACCCAACAAATAGCACACTAAAAACAACTAGTGACCTCATAAAGAAACACTCCGAAAAATTAAATCTGGACGTAAAATGGATAATACCTACGTGCGCCAAATCACCAAAGTTGTATGGGTTACCAAAAATACACAAGCCCAATGCTCCATTACACCCCATAGTGAGCCAAATCGATTCACCAACTTACAGATTGGCTCAACACTTAGCGAAAATACTTTCACCGCTCAGGGGACATACAAGAGCACACATAAAGGATTCCTACCATTTTGTCAGCGAGATTAAAGACCTACGTCTGGCAGACAATGAAACTATGGTCAGTTTTGATGTGCAGTCATTGTTTACATGCTTACCTGTTGAAGACTGCATCTCAATTGTAACTAGAAGGCTGGAAGAAAACAACATGCCCGTAGAATATGCAGTATTACTCAGACACTGCCTTACATCTGGCTACCTATTGTGGAAGGAGGAGTTCTACAAGCAAATAGATGGTGTGGCGATGGGCTCACCTGTATCTCCCATTGTCGCCGACATATTCATGGAAGACTTTGAGGAGAAAGCCCTGCTTACTTCTCCCATAAATCCAAGTTTCTACAAGCGGTACGTAGACGACACTTTCACAATTCTACCTTTAGATAAAGTAACTGCATTTTTAGACCATCTTAACTCTATAAATTCTAAAATTCAGTTCACAATGGAGTTAGAGGCAAACAATTCCTTAGCTTTTCTAGATGTGTTAGTAATTCGGAATCCTGATAACACGTTGAGCCATACTGTGTATAGAAAAAAGACCCATACAGATAGATATTTAAACGGTGATTCTCACCACCATCCTTCACAGTTAGCTACCGTGGGTAAATCTTTGTTTCAGAGAGCACGAGGGATCTGTGACAGTAAACACCTGGCTGCCGAGCTCCAACATGTCTAGCAAGTTTTGCATGACAACAAGCTTCGGGTCCCGCGCCTACGTCACAGAGAACGAGTGAAGCCGGCCACAGTCGAGCGTGTACCTGCTGTACTGCCATATGTTAGAGGAGTCACTGACAAGATTGGCTACATCTTGAAGCGCGCTTTCATCAAAACATACTTCAAGCCGCCGAAGAAGATTGGTCAGTTTTTACCATCAGTCAAGTGTAACGTCCCTCTGCAAGATGCAGGAGTGTACAAGCTTGATTGTGAATGTGGTCTCTCCTACATAGGACAAACTAAAAGATCCATTAAAACCCGCGTCAAAGAACATATAGCTGATGTGAAGAATCGACGCTCCGGGAAGTCTGCAGTCTGTGAACATGTACAGGATCGCCCCCCGTCACTACATCAGATTTGATAGACCACAAATCCTCGCTAAAGAACACCGATTCCTTCCAAGGATGATTCGCGAGGCTATTGAAATCAAAAAACATCCTAATTTCAATAGAGAAGATGGCTGGGTGCTACCATCTGCTTGGGATCCTATAATAAATAAAATTAAATCCCAACCCAAGCATACAACTGCAAGACTCCATGATACCATAAGTTCATACTGTGTAGATCGGAACAAAAGTTAAATTTTAATCTATGGTAACCGCGGTTAACTATGACAGCTGGACGTTGAACATCTCAGTCCTTCCCGTGACCATGGGTGCTGTAAAGCTCTCGAAACGTCGGGTAATTATCAAGTTAAATATACGCGATAAATTCCGTAAAAACTAGTATTATTTCAATACTATGCAACATATTTTGCAAAAGAAAAAAAAACTAAAAACAAAAAGTACTCTAAGCAAAAGTTTCTAAATTAATATTTCATTGTTTTGCAGAGAGACGTTGTGTCAAAAAACCTATCGGGCGGTCAAAAGCGTCGATTATCAGTTGGTGCTGCTATGTGCGGTTCTTCGCGCGTAGTTTTACTGGATGAACCGACATCAGGGCTGGATCCTGCTGCAAGGAGATCCTTATGGGATTTGCTACAAAAAGAAAAGAAAGGTATCTATTTATCCAGATCCCGTAGATATTCGTAGGATTAATTATTCTGTAGAAGTAAATGGTATTAATAAATAAGGGGAATTATAATGGAAAGAAATTTATACGTGGTAGAGCCATGCTGCACTTATATTAGTAGTATAGTTGTAGCACGAATGGGTCGGCTCGACCGGGGAAGGACCATGGTCTCACAGAATACCAGCGTAAAATAGTAGCTTAATGCTGCTGTGTTTCGTATGGTGAGTGTAGAGAACCGGAGACCCTTTTTACTGGAAACGAGGCATTCCATCTTAGTCCTCAGGGGTGACAACGCATCTGCATTTTGATTTGTAATCGAGGATAGATGTAGATGTCTATGGGCCGCAGGAACCACTTACCATCACGTGGACTGTGTGCTCGTTTGTCACCCTATTCTATAAAAAAAGAGTATAAATCAGAGGTGTGATATGTGCGATTTTAGATTCTGACTGCTCTGTGGCGCAGTGGCTTAACAATGAGTTGCAATGTTAAGGGACCCGGGTTCGAATTCCACATGGAACAAGTAATTGTATGGCCTACAAATAATTGTTTCGGGTCTAGATGTCAGTCTTTGTGAAATTTATGTATTGCAACTGCCCCCATGACAGAGGAGAAAATCCTAATGAGTAGGTTACATTAAAAAAACCTTATTCATATCTATTTAATATGACAGGACGAACGATGATTTTGACAACGCACTTCATGGATGAAGCTGACGTATTAGGCGACAGAATCGCCATCATGGCCGGTGGGCGCTTGCAATGCATCGGAACTCCTTACTTCCTTAAAAAGCATTACGGTATCGGCTACAAGCTCACCATTGTGAAGACTGAAGAGTGTAACGTTGAAAATGTCACGACTTTCTTTAAAAGCTTTGTGCCGGATATCAAAGAAAACACTAATATAGGTTTGTAGTAATTTTTTTTATTGTTAGTTTCAAAGAGGAATTAATGATTTTTTTAATGTAAAGCCTATGGTTGCTCCATCAATATACACGGAATATCTTGCAAATGTTTACTTTTAAACATTACAGGTTCTGAGTTGACATACATATTGTCCAATGAACAGGTTAGTAAGTTTCCTGACATGCTCAGGGAATTTGAGGAAAAACGAGAGTCTATGCATGTATCCAGCTACGGTCTGTCGGTTACTAGCCTCGAGGAAGTCTTTATGAAGTAAGATTTTTCATTTATATTACTTAATGAATTTCCTTTTTTCTGTAAGCATTATTAACAACCGCAATACAATGAAAATTAACGTTTTTGTTATGTTCTAAATATCTTCCCTGTTTGGAAGGCGTTCAAGTCTTACGTCAGCAGGCTTTAGGTGCAGGGAGGTGGTCAATATTTTCTTATTTTTGTTGACAAAGAGAGTGTCGGGGGAATATTAAAAACCTTATGTATATACAATAAAAATATTTTAAAAACAGTATTTATAATCAAAATTAATATTATTTTTTTTATTATTTTATCATAGTATACTGAATTTCTGTTCATATTTCTTAGTAAAAATAAATTATATAGAAACTTGGATATGGAGCCTGTGTAAATGATTTATAATAGAAATATTTATTTTAAAAATTAATTAAATAATTGAGTCTTATATTTGAACTATATAATAGTATAATATTTAATAAAAGTTTTGAAAAAATTCTTACGTTCTATCATTTCGGGAAACCATTTTCTGAGTTCGCCATTTTCTTATTTTTGCTTATACAGGTGGGATGGGGGTCTAAAGTCATAGAAAGTTTTCTTACGTAATAATTGAACACCCCCTAATATTAAACTTTTAAATCCTTCACGCAAAATCAGCCATCAAGATAGTTTTTATTGTTTTATATTATATGTTTCAAGAGCTGGTGTAGAAGATCATTCGGAAGTGTCTTCGGGCAAAAAAAATAATCACGTCAGTATGAACGACTGTGCAGTTGTACCTATAGAAGTACATCAAAACAATATAGGTAATATGAATTATTCACATGGAACAGGATATGAAATTACCTACAATTTACAAATATTATATATATTTCAGTGTCAAACGAACCAATACAAAAAGTTAGAGGATTTCGATTGCTTAGAAACCACATAAAAGCAATGTTCCTAAAGCTCATTCACAACACAATGAGGAATAAACTTGCAGCTTTTATCCAGTTCGTTACTCCTATCATTAACATAACGCTATCGGTAATAATAGCTCGATCCTGGAAATTCTTATCACAATTGCCACCATTGGAGTTGAGCTTAGAGAATGGCTATAGAGCCACGGAGACTTTAATGTCTCAAGGTATGAATTTAACTGAGGGTAGTCTAGAAAACAAAGCCATGTTAGCATACAAAGATTACTTCAAATCCTCCACGAAAGCTGGAATGAAGATCAATGACCTGGGGACAATGAATTTGGGAAAATTTTATATGAAACTCGTAAGTACCAACACATTATATAAAATTAATGAAATGAAAATCATTTAAAAATTCATCGATACATACATGTTTTTATTAAATATTTTAAAATATTTGCAACTAACTAACTAAACAGAACGCGAGTAACCCGGGTTCGATCCCCGCCGGCACCAATGAAATTGATAATTGCAATTTTAAGTGCTGATTTACCGAGTGCTCGGCGGTGAAGGAAAACATCGTGAGGAAACCTGCATGTCTGAGGAATAAGAAAAAAAAATATTTCGAAGACATGTGAAGTTCGTCAACACGCATTTGGGCAGCGCGGCGGACACTTCCTTGCCCTAAACCCTCTCAGAAATGAGGGGACCTATCAGCAGTGGGACGTATATATGCTGTAACTTTACTTTACTTTTTACTTTTTATTTGCAACTAATATTAAGTGTTATATAAATAACATTAACATAAGTATATCGCAAAACTATCATACAATAATATCTTTTTATTTTATAATAATATAATAATTCTTTTTATTTTATTTTTTTGTTTCTGCTTATTTTCTCTTTCTTTTTTGTGAAACTTATTTTTGAAACAACTTTAATATATCCAAGTACTTTATAATTAATATTATTAATTTTATTGATTGTAATATTATTAATTGTAAACTATAACAAGCGATAGTATGTACATTTATATAAGGTAAGAACCTCTTATTGGCATTATGGATTATCTGAGAAGTTCTGTTAAAATTTATAGCGTGCTGTTGCTTCTATGATCAATAAAGAAAAAAAAATTTATTGGTATAACTATCATACATATAATTTATTAAATGTAAAAATGTGTGTTTCAGTGTGAGGCAGACTTGTCTCGTGTGCGCTATGAAAACCTGATAGGTGCCACATTCGCCCCGCATCGCATAACGGGTTGGTTTAGCAATTTTGGGTATCACGACTCGGCCGTCTCGCTCGCCCTCGTAAACAACGCAATAATGCGTGCCCTGTCACCCGGCAGTACTTTGCGAATTATAAACCATCCTCTACCTTATTCAATAGAAAATTTGGTAAGTGGTAGAATATCCATCATTTCTTTTTTTTTTAATATGAAAATAACATCCTTGCATAATGACAAAAATTAAGAAATTTTTAGTCTAGTCGTGAAATCTTGTTCTCATTTCACAGCATAATTAAAAGTACTTGTACTTACTGAGTTAGTAAAAATACAATTGCTGTTGTTCTGTACTTTACAATATACAAATGTTACAAGATACAATATACGCCATAACTTATAGTCCTTAGATCGCAATATTATGAGAATGACTTGGGTTATATGTACATATAACATTATATTCTTCGACAATTTGATAAACCAAGCATTATTATGCAATTTAAAATTATGTAATATATAGAAATTAATGTTTGTTTGTATTTTATGCACTGCCAAACCGTTCGTCAGTAAAACTTTGGCAACTCATTGCTTACACTTAAGCAGATGTTATAGGCATAGTACAATTAAAAATCATTAGGTGGCGCGCGCATCAACAAATTTACTTGAAAGCTATATATCATTCAACTCCAATGAATGTATTATCGTTTCTAATTAAACTATATATAGGTCTCCCCACGAATCATGAAATTAAATAGCGTTCACTTCACATGTACAATCAAGCAGAAAAATTAAAATTGTACTATGGCATTTTAATGTGTATAAAGTCTATGGTCGACATTAAAACTGCACATCAAAGTCTCCACGAAAACAGAACGATATTTCTATATATCGTCATTAGGTTTTAATTGCTGCTAAATAATATTCTGTATTTTATGTACACTAAATTAAAAAAATAAAATATTTTGTATTTGTAATTGCTGTTTTAACTATACTATGAAATAGCCTTCAAATATATTTATAGGGTTATCTTACATGCAATGCTTTGCAAAAAAAAATCAAATAATAAATCAAAGCTTTTATTTTGGATATGAAAAATTACAATATTTTAATGCTGTTACTTAAAGGCTCCAGGTATATCTAATGACGACACCCCAGGATCGGCAGGATCAGATAATCCCAGGATCAGCTCTTCTTAATTTGGTCCCGGGACTGACTCGTCATCCTGCTCAATGTCAGCGGAATCACCCACTCGAATAAATAATTCTTCTGTTATTTGGTCCTACTATATGATCACTTTTGCGATAATCCTCTTCAATAAGTTTTACTTTGCTGCAGAGATTTCGCCACTCGCCGACACCCATGGCATCAACTTTTTCTTTTACAAGTTCTATGACACTTTTGATTTTCCTTTTAACGTTTTTGCTACTAACATAACCTTTTATTGCAGCCCACGTCATTTCTATGGCATTCGGGTCGGGGTGATATGGTGGCAAACGGAAGATATCGTGAGCATGCGGTCACGATGTCTTCCGTTTCTTCACATCAACGTTCTGGGAAGTCTGCAGTTTGTGATCATATCCTAGACGGCCCCAACCATTACTACATCAGATTTGATAGACCACAAATCCTCGCGAAAGGACACCGATTCCTACCAAGGATGATGCGTGAGGCTATTGAAATTAAAAAATATCCTAATTTCAATAGAGAAGGAGGCTGGGTACTACCACCCGCTTGGGACCCTATAATCAATAAAATTAAAACTAAACCCAAGCATACCACTGCAAGACCTCAGGACATAGTCAGTTCATTTTGCATAGATCGGACCATAAACAATATTTAAAAAAGCTGAAGGTACTCCGGGTTTAACAATGACATCGGGACGTCAGTCACCTCAGTCCCCTGTGACCATGGGTGCTGGAAAGCGCCGAAACGTCAGGAATTAAAAATAAAAATAATTAAAAGTAAAATTAAACGCGGTAAAATTCGTAAAAGTAGTTTTAATCAATGTGTAGTGTTCGCGTAAATATGAGAAATCATCACGGTTAACAAATCAGACTGACTTGCTTCCTTTACGATTCTCCCAACAGTAGACACAGAGGTTTTGGTAGTTCTAGCTAACCGTTTTATTAATTCTAATTTTTTCAGTCCACTATTTTCGTCCTTTATAAAATCCAATACACGTCAAAAACCATTTTCATTGCTTGCCTTCGCAGTGTACGTTTCATAGGGGCCATTCTTGTAGAAAATAACAAAATATTTACAACTTTATACAATATACTACGAACTACGGTATTTTAAAAAGTTCAAAAATAATTTACAAAATAATAAATATTTACACACTACTTGCAAATATTATACAACAACAAAAGTCCAAAAATTATCGCAAAAATTTTAAATTTTTATAACAGATAGTCGCTAACACTTTCGATATCGCTAGTACGCAAGACGGCACAAGAACGTGCGTGGGCGACGAAACGCAGGGAGACACTGCGCGGGGGTACCTGATACCGCAACGTACTGATATCAGTTTATCCGCTTCTGCGCAGTTTCATAACTCGTGGCGTGAGCTATAAATCTTCTAAATTTAAAACAATATTTCCACAATTTTTTTCTTTTGCAGCAGCAATGCGCCGGGTTTCAGCTTGTCCTAAAATAAAACTTAGTTTTGTTTATCACGTTGAAAACATTTACGATTACACTAAACTTCAAAGCAACAACAATCATTTTGTGTCAACAAGCCGAGCTTATGATATGACATGAATACAATTAAATTGACTACCTGTGCTTAATGGGTGCGTTTGGCAGAAAAAAGCGCTAGCAGGCGCTTGTAAGCAAAATGGCGATCGTAAGCGGTAAGCGCTGTCAAAATCGTAAGTAGCTATTTTCCTCTAGGACACGAAGTTAGTTTTAACCTGGGAACCTAACCTAATTTAAATATATGTTTGTAAAGTATTCATATTAAAAACTTACCAATCATGAATTTTTATTAACATGTTATAATATGTTTATTCATGTCATTATATTACTTTAAACTAATATTGCACAACACAACTTATAAACTCTACTTCAAAACAAACAAATTAAATAAGCAAAATGGCGGATTGTGTCAGCGCCACTGAAGTTAAAAAACGTGTCCTGGCCGAAAACGGTTTAATTTCGCCATTTTACTTACAAGCGCTTTTTTCTGCCAAACGCAGCCAAAGTAATGATAATTTGTAATATTTTTTTTTATTTTTGTTTCGTGGGGAAACCTTTTTGCCAATGGGCAAATTTATTGTTATATAAAAAGTTATATTTTTTAAGTTTTAGGTTTTAACGATAATAGGAGTTAATATTATCAGGTTAGTTATACTTACTTTATAGTTGTTATGTTTTTAGGTTAGGATCATGGCAACAGGAAGCAGTATGGGATTTCAATTTGCATTCAACATCGGATTTTGCATGGCTTTTGTTACATCCTTCCTTGTCCTTTTTGTGATAAAGGTAAGAAATTCGAGTACTGTATTTAAATATCGAGTGCCGTTTGACAGCTTCCTTAAAGTGACTCATTTTTGCGAGTTTTTTTTTAAATAGAATAAGGGTGATAAACAAGCACAGAGTCCATCTAATATTAAGTAGATACTGTGGCTCATAGACATCCAGATTTATACTCAACTATGAATTAAAATGCAGAACAAAAGACGACCTATTTTCACCACACGGTTTTAATCGTTTTTATTCTAACAAAACAAACATTGCTATATAAATTATATTAGAATATAGTGAAATGACTTAATAATTTTTTAGACAAATTATTATCTTATTTGTAAATTTTGTAAATACTAAAAAACTTATATAAATGGAAAATCCATCTAGTTTGAAGACACTACTTATGCAAATTCATAGCGACGATTTGAAGCGACAGTAGCCTAATGGCAGGGCGCGGATCGCGAACTCAAAAGGTCGTGGGTTCGAATCTGCCATTTGACTACTGTCGTGAACCACTCCTAACACAAGCATTTTCAAGCTTACCAGGAGTGGTTAAAAGGAATATTAGTAATGTTAGTTAATAAGATTACTAATATTTTAATAAAAAAAAATTGAAACTATTTGATGGAGTATGTAATGGTGGCTAAGTAATATCCAATTATGTAAACATCAGGAACGCGTAAGCGGTGCGAAGCTGCTTCAGCGAGTGTCAGGCGTACGACCGGCTGTGATGTGGGGCAGCGCCCTAATATGGGACTGGGCGTGGCTGTTCTTAGTGCATCTGTGCATTATCCTTACTCTCGCATGCTTTCAGGAGAATACGCTCTCAACTCCGGAAGAACTAGGTGATTATAAATTTCATAATTATAATATAAGTTTTATGTTTTATATTTATAATTAGTATTTTTAAAATAATTTCATGCTCTAACTTTACGTGAAAGAGAACACGTATAAAATACTTACCGAGTGGGACTCGTAATTTGCAGCTACATTCTTTCAAATCAAAACTTAATCCTCCTGTTTTTTTATAGGATAAGGGTGACAAACAAGCACACAGTCCCCCTCATGGTAAATGAATGCTGTGGTATAGACATTTACGTATATCATCGATCATGGATCAAACAGATGCGTTGTCAACCATGAGGACTAAGATGGAATGCCTAGTTTCCAGGGGGGCTCCGATTCTCTACACACACCATACAAAACGCAGCAACAATGAGCTGCTGTTTTACGCTGGTATTCTGTGAGAACGTGGTTTTTCTCCTGTGTAGCCGACCTATTCGTGCTAAAACCATAATATTGCTGCAGCATGGCGTTTGATCCTTAAAAGATTGAAAAAATATGATTAATATGCCTGTTTGTCTTTAATACTTGATTAATTTCGAAATATTGTTTTCTATTTCATTTATTCCTTTACATTCTTCTGTGATTCAGGCCGAGTCCTCCTAGTCTTAATGGTGTTCTCGCTGGCGACTATACCATTACACTATTTGGCGTCTTTTTACTTCGAGGCCGCTGCTACTGGATTCTCAAAAATGTGTTTCATGAACATTTTCTGTGGTAAGATAAGTTTTATAATAGGTTTAAATAAGTTCGCATTGCAAATTGTCTATTTTAAATATTTTTACAGGGTGCATGCCATTTCTTATAACTGAGGTGTTGAGGTTGCCTGAAGTAGGCAGCCCGTACTATGCGCATATATTTGATTGGATATTTTCGCCCTTGCCCATTTACTGCATTAGTCGAAGTTTCAGGTAATTACATTACTATAAATAAACAGCGGGTTTGAACTATTGACCATAAACTTGCATTTGTTTTTACACTTTTTTAAATCTGCTGCATTTTAATAATACGCGTGCATGCACGGACGGGCACCCCCACGCGCTTATGCACCTATTAACGTACGCACGCATGCACCCCCCCCCCCACACACACACACACACACACACAAACACATACTTAAAAAAAGCAGCTTATGTAAGCCTGATATATAATATATCTTTTTTGTTAACGCTTAAAATAATGATTTATAAAAAGAAATATTGTGTTCTACTATACACATATACTAAATAATGTTTTCGTTCATCTGATACGTATTAATCTGATTTTATCCGAAATTAATTTATTTTCTGAGATTTAAAGATTTACTTAGAGAGAATCAGATTAGCTAATGACCTACATACTAACTTTTGAGTAACGAAATAATATATCATTTTTATCTTTCGTATAGAGCGTGTTACGAAAGATGAGACTGGACACACCACGTGGTTTGACTTGCGCAGTACACGATTTATCTTTTGATATATCTTCAGCGGTCTGAGGTGGAAAGAGAGCGGGCGGGAAAGAGTGCGCGGGAGGCGCGGCATGGCGCTGCGCGTGCACGTCATTTGCCTTTCGCCCCCTCGCCCCTCGCATCCTCCCACCGTATACGCGCCGCTTTACCCTGCATTAAAAACGAGCGCAACCGTGTTTATTTTCTACTTTATTTATAGGAGTACAACTTTGTGAAATTTTAAGTATGCCTCTGGTAAAACATTAAAACGAGGGTGTAGAAAAATGGTTTACGACGTTTATACCTATATGTCAATAGAAGCAGAGGAAGGTATACAAACTTTGAAGCAGGTACAAATGCGTACAGCCGCCGCAACTAAACATCTTTAATAACAGTTAAAAGATTTGTGAAGGAAACGAGTAGCTCCAAGTTTCTACCCATTTCCGAACTCCCGGCAAAAAAAAAGAACGAGGCCCAAAATTTTAACCGACATAGATGAATTTGACAAAGGAGTATGAAAAAGATGTATTTATTCACAACGTTCTTGTTACGAATAAGAAACTGCCGACACTTAAATTAGCAAAGTTGCACAATGATATTGACTTTCGTGGCTACGCCGCATTTTGAAAGTCCTGGGTTTTCAACGGAAGAGGACAGAAACTAATAGGAAAATTCTTATTGAAAAATGCAACATTAGACTGAAGAGAATTGAATACCTGCAAAAAGTCAGAAAATATCGATATATATCGTATATACTGGAATCCACGTGCATTCCATGCATACTACCTCCAAATCTTGGTCGGATGATACGGATGAAGGGCTTAAAAAACCTATTTCTAAAGGTCAAGTTGTATTGTGCACGATGTTTCTGAAAGTGGCTTCATACCAAACGCTTTACTGTCTTTTAAATATAGTTCGAAAACGGGTGACTATCACGACGATATGAACTACGAAAATTAATTATCAAAAATGGCGTCGTGCTAGTTGACAATGCCTCGTACCACAACAAGGAATATGAATCTGCACCAACCTCAAATACCAAGAAATCTGAAATGCAATCATGGCTAACCCAAAAATGAATTTCGTACACACCAGATATGCTCAAACCACAATTGTACAAATTGATAAAATACATAAAGAACAGTATAATACATTCAGCATTGACAAAATACTATCTGATCATGGTCATGAGTCATGACATACTTCGATTACCCCCATACCACCCTGATTTAAATCAAATTGAAATGGCTTGGGCTGCAATAAAAGGCATTTGAACCTTATACGTGTGATATAATTAAAGTATGGCCAACGAAAAGCGCTAGTAAATGCAGATAAAACCAATGCACCTTGCATTGGTTTTATCTGCATTTCTTTTTTTTATTTAATTTTTATAATTTATATACTTTAAAATAAAACATTACATTTTCATTGGAAAAATAAAATTTTTTTTTATAAATATTTAAAGATTATATAATCTCCTTAATATCTTAAATATTATGCTCTATATATAAGCTATTTAAATTTTAAAGTAGTAATTAAAACAAAAAAATTATTATTCATAAAATAAATCTAAATAAATAAATTTTAAAATTATTTATTTGATATAAATAATAAAAAATTGAATAATTTTTAATAATTTTAAACATACCCTGACCTCTATATAATTCTATTCAACCTATATCAATATTTTTTATTAAATTTTGACTATAATTTAAAACATAAAAATTAAGTCCATATGTAGATAAATTTGGTATAAATCATATTAAAGATAAAAAATTTCTTAAATTATAAGTCATTAAAAACTTATTTAATGAATAAATTTTTATATTTCTAATTAAATAACCTATAAATAAACCTATTAATCTAACATAAATAACTATCATTTTCATATTAAAAGATAAATAAATTATATAAGGATAATTAAAAATTATTCATATTAAAAATCTTCCAGTAACTAAACTTATAAATAACAATAAAAATATACTTTTTAATATAACATAATCTTCGTCATATAAATTATAAATAGAAAATAAATTATAATCATTAATTATTAAATATATTAATAAACGAATTGTATAAAATATTGTTAAACCTGTAGAAAAATAATATAAAAAAAATTAACATATTTAAATTTCTCATTCTTACTATTTCTAAAATTAAATCCTTAGAATAAAATCCAGCTAAAAAAGGAATTCCACATAAAGCTAAATTAGAAATATTTATACATAAAGAAGTTATAGGAATATATAAACTAATTCCCCCTATATAACGAATATCTTGATTATCATTTATTATATGAATAATTACTCCAGCACATATAAATAATAAAGCTTTAAATATAGCATGAGTTAATAAATGCATATTAAGAATAGCGGGGGTGCCTAACGTTTTGATCGTTAGATTATATATTTAAGTAGACAATATAGTTTTAAAAATATAGTTTGACTGCCTCGTTGGTCTAGTGGTTGTAGTAGTGCGACTGCTGATCATGAGATCCAGGGTTCGAATCCCGGGTTGGGCCAAAAAATCAATTATTGAGTTTTTGTCAAGAAATTCTCAGTAGCTGCCCGGAGTCAGGAAGTTGGTGGTGTCTCACCCCCGTGCCTCGGAAAGCACCTAAAGCCGTTGGTCCTGCGCCTGATCTCTCTCCGGTCGTGTCGGTTTGCCGTCCCATCGGATTAAGAGAGTAAGGGAATAGAGAGTGCACCTGTTGAAGCAGTGCAGTGCACCGTGCCTCCGTTGAAGCAGGCCGCCGTGGCCGAAATTCTGTCTGGAGGACATTATAGTTTTAAAAATTGTCTAGCAAACCAAAAAAAAAATAGATGTTTTATAAATTTTGTTATAATTTGAATTATTGTGTAATGTAGATTTAAATTAAATAAAGAGAATAATAATAGTGTTTCTGAATATCGCTTGCCTAACAACTGTGTGCCCGGTGTATGGTAACGGGCTTGCCCCCTGTTACATAGGGACTTAAATATATCAGGCAAAATGTGGGTGCTCATATCTTTGCCTACCCCTTAGGGGATACAAGACTGATGATATGTTATGTTATGTTTATGGAAATGAGGATAAAAAAATTTTTTTTTGAGGAAATCGTTGTTTATTCAGTCAGACGCCGATTCTTCTAAGTGTGTAGAGTCAGAATCAGAGTTTGTAACACGTATCATACCAATAATTAAATAAACAACAAAAAATAACAAAATGTTTAACAAATAACTTGTATCACCACGAGCGCGTTCCTAAACTTTTTTTGCCGGGATAACGAGATATTACGACAAATACACAAGATGGAAAGAGATAGATAATAGATTGTCAACTCCACAGTCGTTTTTAAGGTAAATGACCTTTCGTATCGCTGCTAGTTGGTCGTACTTTAGAAACAGTAAAGGCAAACCAAATAGGACCAAATGAATGGAAAGCTCTATGTGATAAAACAAAAAAATTGAAAACTTACATTGAAAGTGATCACATAATTGATAATTTGACGGATACCGAGATAATTATCAGAGCAAGAGATTCGTCAGACAGCTACACAGAGAGTTACTCATCGTCATCCGACGAAAATGATAATCTGTCAACTCCTGGAGCAGTTGTATATTTTTCCAGAGTTAATGTGGTTACCTGTGGTATTACCTGGTTGCAGTCGCGTTTCGAACAAAGATCATCCCGCTGGTGTAATATTTATTGACAGTGATAGGGACTAGGATAATCTACCATTTTTAATATTTTTAACGCATTCCTATAGCTTTTATTCATTTTAAACTTTAATATTTTGTAATAATTATAGTTAAGAATTTTAATATAACTAGTATTGCTTTACACCTAACTCCGAATATCAACGAAAATTCCCTGAATATATTATACATGGAATAGGCATTCTATTTCGTACGTGATTGTATCTGCGCAGGCTCCCCACTACTGACGCTCGTCACGTCTCATCTTTCGTGACACAGTCTATAATTGGTGACAAAGGAGACCTGTGAGCCACTATAAAGCAGGGCCTTAAAGTGAACTGCCATTTCACTTCGTGAAAATACCGTAATGTCTGACGATATCTATTGTAATTTAAAAAAAATAGCTTACCATCACTTGTATGATTTGGGTTCGACATTTTTAAAAATATTTTCCGTCATTAGTCAGTTATGAAAACCTCGTCCGTCAAGGTTAACGTTTGGAGAAAATTTGATATTATTCTTCTTATACCCTACTTTTTAACGGATTTTCTTTAATTTTTTTTTAATCCTATAATATATGATGTACGACCAGGGACATGAGCGTGTCATCGTTCTCGATGCTGGCGTGCGATGGGCTGTGCGAGCAGTTCGTGAACATCGACAACTGCACGCGGCACACCATCTGCCAGCACCTCAACATCACGGTTTGTTGTAGTAAGTGAGTCCCAGCTCTTGTCCTGCTCCATTAATATATAATTCCATCCATCCAATTCTCTATATGATGAACACAGTATTTCCTGAAGTAATGTCATAAAACTGTTTAATTTCTCTTAGAGATATGATTACCGTAGGTGCCACGCTTGGCAGGTGGTTTGGCAACCGCAGTTTTGTCATTATTAATTTTATTTTTGCTTCATCTTTCGTCATGCGGACAACAAAGGTGTCAAATAAGTTGCCAGCATCTGTCTTACCACTCGACTACAGTATGGCTGTATTCAAGGCAAGAGAATAGACTTTTGTAAAACTAAGTCAGTACGCTTTACGTCTTCGACTGCATCATCACTTACCTATCAGGTGGGATGGAAATCAATCACTGGCTTAGAATAGTTTAAAAGAAGTTTCAACTAAGACGATGCTGTGGCCCACCTATACGTTTTAACCTTACTGAGGATTTATTTACGCAAATATATCTAGATTTATAAAGGCAATACATGTATTTGCTGCTCCGCTGTCAAATGGATTCCTGAACGAAACTCTCACACTGTCGCATTTAATTTATTCTGAACTGTCCATATAGACGCGTATCGCGTATTGTATAAAACAATACGTAAAGCAAGTGCATAAAGTATTATTATCAGCCTGTAATCAACCCACTGCTCGACAGATCTCACTGAGGTAGATACAAATTACGTTAACATCATTTTTATACATTGAAGTTTTCCATTTTTGTTTCCTAGTACTGCTTTGCAATTTACGATATAATTTGCACATAACAAATTAAAAATCATCTGTAGAGGGCTACCTTTCGAAAGCTTTAGCCCTAAAACTTTCTTACTACTTTCCTTTTACAAATTTTAATATTATTAATGTACATATTATTATTTTTACATATAAAATACTGTAAACCGCTCCTGGTAAGCTTAAAATACTTGTGTTATAAGTGTGTAAGTGAATAGCGGATTCGAACCCACGACCTGTTGAGTTCGTGGTCCGCACCCTATCGTTAGGCTACTGTCGCTTCTATATTTATTTATACAACATTTTAATTTTACAGTTGAAGACAACCCGTTCTTAAAATGGAGTGAACCGGGTATTGGTCGCTATTTGTTTATGATGGCGCTAGTTGGTGTGATCTCATTCACAATTCTGCTTATCAAGGAATATGAAGTTTTGAACAAGGTACAATATACGTATTATTCATCTTATGACCATTAAAAATAGAAACATAGAATACATACATAATAGAATATAATACATACATAATAGAACGGGGGAGTGGGCGAAGCCCGTGTAGCCACTAAAATGCCACTAACACGTCGATTCACATGTATGAATGTCAACACGAGATGTGTTTTGACGTTACAATCGTTTCCAAATTTCGCATGCAAATTATTTAGAAAATGCCAAATTGCATGTTATTTACAAATAAACATGTAATGATTTCTTAAATTTACGCGAATACTACACATTGAATAAAACTAAATTTACGGATTCTATTGCGTTTATTTAACTGATTTTACTTATTTTTAATTCCCGCCGTTTCGAGTGCTTTACAGCACCCATGGTCACGGGGGGAATTCGAAAGAGACCAATAGACATTCGAAATCCTGATAACACTATTAGTCACACTGTGTATAGAAAAAAGACCCATACCAACCAATATTTGAATGGTGAATCTCACCATCATCCTTCACAGTTAGCTACCGTGGGTAAATCTTTGTTTCAGAGAGCACGAGGGATCTGTGACAGAAAACATCTGGCCGCCGAGCTTCAGCATGTCAAGCAAGTGTTGCAAGACAACAAGCTTCGGATCCCGCGCCTACGTCACAGTGACCGAGTGAAGCCGGCCACAGTCGAGCGTGTGCCTGCTGTACTACCATATGTCAGAGGAGTCACAGACAAGGTTGGCTACATCTTGAAGCGAGCTTCAACTAAAACATACTACAAGCCGCCGAAGAAGATTAGTCAATTTTTACCATCCGTCAAATGTAATATCCCTCTACAAGATGCAGGAGTGTACAAGTTAGATTGTGAATGTGGTCTCTCTTACATAGGTCAAACAAAAAGATCCATAAAAACCCGCGTGAAAGGACATATAGCTGACGTTGAAGCACCGACGCTCCGGGAAGTCTGCAGTCTGTGAACATGTTCAAGATCGTCCCAACCATTACATCAGATTTGATATACCACAAATCCTAGCAAAAGAACATCGATTCCTACCAAGGATGATACGTGAGGCTATTGAAACCAAAAAACATCCTAATTTCAATAGAGAAGATGGTTGGTGCTGCCATCTGCTTGGGATCCTATAATTAACAAAATTAAACCCATACCCAAGCATACCACTGCAAGACTTCAAGATACTGTAAGTTCGTTTTGCGCAAATCGGACCAAAAATTAATATTCAAAAACTGAAAGTAGCCGGGCTAAAAATAACATTGGGACGTCAAACATCTCAGTCCCCCACCGTGACCATGGGTGCTGTAAAGCACCCGAAACGTCGGGAATTAAAAATAAGTAAAATCAGCTTAAACGCGATAGAATCCGTAAATTTCGTTTTATTCAATAAATATGTATTAAAATTCGTCTGTCAACACAGCGGATCGGGTTCGTAGTAGTGATTAACTGATAATACGACGTGATTGCTTGTATGTGTGCTCTCGGCGACACAGATTCTCGTACAAAATAATGTTAACAGCCATTCTATTGTGTATTATAGTATTCTATGAATAAAAACATACTTCAATATAAGAATTATTTTTAGCAAGGAATAATATGAATAGACATTTACTGTTTATATAGTTAATAGAAAGTAGTAGAAAATTTGGTTGCTATTTTTTTCTGATAATCGTCAATTTTGTCCAGATATTTTATAAAGATAGTCCACACATACCACCCCCGGTAGACTCAACAGAAGACAGCGATGTAGCAGCCGAACGTTCTTTCGTACAACAACTTACCCGAACGGAGATCGAACAGCAGAGTCTAGTGTGCAGGGATCTCACTAAGTACTACAAGGATTTCTTAGCAGTAAATCGAATCTCCTTTGGTAAGTGTAAAATATCACTTACGAAAACATACACAAAAGCATTGAGACATCCTCTTTGAAGTTTAGCGAAATACACAACATACGTTTTATATGTTATTAGAAATACAACACTGCCGCGTTTGTCATGTTAAATTTTATAATTTCACACAGTGTTCCATATTTGCCTATGTGCGTGTGTATATGATGCCAGGAATATAATTAATATTTATTATACTAAATCGTTTTAAACAAAAATACTATACATTACAAAGTAGATATTCAGTGCAACTAATATAAAGTATCACTTAGGACCTCGAACTATTACTGATATTAGCTCGCTGTTATGATTTCTCCTCGTACATACATAATTATATCCTCTATCTAATGCATGTCAAAATGAATACTAAATGTATGTAAGCTATCAAGAATTTTTCCAATTAAATTGGGTTATCCACATGCTTCAATCCATACCTCTCGGTCGAAGTTGGACTTACCTAGTTGGACTACTTGTCCCAAGTAAACATACTCGTCAACAACTTCGAGCTTATAACCGTATTTATAAAGAAGTAATTACTTGTTGCCAAGTAATTTCTAAGTTAAGTCATTACTTAAGGTTAGAATTCTTAATTACAAAATCTCATTCTATAGTTGAGTAACACACGTTACTTACTTGAGCAAATGCCCAAGTAACACTACGCTTGGTGGTTGTTTCTGTGTTCATAAACATAGTTCTCCATTATTATGAACGATGTTTTGGCTTACTGTCAAAGGTGTCAAAATAACCAACAATTCTAAGGCATAAAATTCCGTATGTTAAATCTTACGAACGACGATTAACACGATTTTTATGACGCCGAAAATAAATATTCGTAAAAAAATTTCGAAGTTAGATAACGTCTAAACTTTTAAAGTAAGAAGGTTCATTTATCAGAAATAACATAATCCCGAAAAAAGAGTTACATATATACATGTAATCATCTGTCACTCCTATAAAGGGAGATGACCCGGGCTTCTTAGCCTAGCTAAGATCTATTTGCCTATTGTGGCAACTTCGGTACCCCGTGAGCGCTTACTATGCGCCAGGTTGTCAAAATAGTTATTTTAAAATTCAACTCTAAAGAAATAAACGTAAAAGTAAAAAAAATGTTTAATTAATTCTTGTTTTCTGTTAAAAATAATTATTATTCGATAAAATTAAATGTGTTAAAAGTAAATAGTGTAAAAATTACAACATATAGATCATGTTTGATTATTATACTTATTTGTTTAATTTCTGTTCAAATGATTATTTATTCGATATATATATATTAAAAAAATTTAATTACCCTATTATATATTATATCTATATCTACATAAAAATATCCAAAGTTTTCATTTTATCCAAAATAACCTCAAAGTAGTGCTTAAGTAAAGAAATGGTGAATATACTTGGTTGAGTATTCTAACTTTTGACAATTCTAACTTGGAGCATTTACTTAACTATCGAATACAAATCGTTACTTAAGTGATTACTTTAACTTGTTTATAAATACGGGTGTTAGTGCTCCCAACAACCACCGGCATAAGTGTGACGTGCACATTACACATGACTTTTGTCCATGTTCATTTTAAGACTTATTCGTTGTGAGACACTATTAAGATCATTGAGCATCGGGCTGCTTAGGTCTTCTAGCGATTCTGCCATAAGGACTATATCGTCGGAAAATCGAAGGTGAGTGATGTACTCGCCATTGACGTAATACCATATCCTTTTCAGTCCAGTAGCTTGAAAACGTCTTCCAATGCAGCAGTGAAAAGTTTAGGGGTTATTACGTCACCCTGTCTTACGCCTCTCTACAGTTGGATAGGTTTCGTACTCTAGTTTTTGGAGGAATGCATGGCTCTAGAGATATGCTCATTACATTTCCTCTACCTCCTCTTCGAGATATGCCTAGGTTGTTGCGTAAACCTGTATGACTTTCAGCGAATACTGTTTAGCGAGTATCTTTACATACTTGTGGACTGTAAATCCGATACCTCCTTGGGACAGATGGTCAAATTCCCGGTGATAGAACAAATTGTCGGATTCTAGGATTACCGTGTGGGGAGGACTCTCTTCGGACCTCATATAATCCTATAATATCCCAGTGCAAGTTGTCCATCTCTTCTTCCGACTTCAGGAGATTCTCGTAGGTCCTCAGGGTGTGTGCGTTATATTTTGTGTGGTCAAATCGTCGTAGGTGGCAGCCGAACCTCCACCGGAGATTCTTGACACCTCCTCCCCCGCCTTTACCGTGGTCGCCACCGTTGCCAGGAATTGCGGTGCCGCCGGGGACTGGGGGTCTTTTATTTGTGTCGTTGTTCATGGGTGGTATATTGCCCTAGTTGCCACGCTTGGCAAGCGGGTTGGCAACCGCAGTCTTATTGCTTTTTGCTGTTATCAGAAAGATGCTGCTGCCCATCTTCTGCCTCAGTTTCTCTCTGTCGCCTCTTACGACATCCACGGGAAGATATGGGGTTGTGGGTATTCTTACTCGCCACTACACGAGAGGTAAGAACTCCCACTAGGTACTGTAATTATACTGGCACTGTACCGTTCAGACCACAAAGAAAAGTGTGTACTGTTTAGCGGCTGAAATAAGTGAGAGGGTGGATACCCTGACGTCACCCTGGGGAATGGCAAACCAGATGGTTCCTTGCCAAAAAAGGAGTCCTACCACCTAAAAACATGAACATAATGTTGCGGCAGCTGTGCACAAGAGCGAGTGCTTCGGGCTGCTGGGCGTGAACGGCGCGGGCAAGACGAGCACGTTCCGCATGCTGACGGGCGACGCGCGCATCTCCTGCGGCCACGCCTACGTGCACGGGCTGCCCATCAAGTCGCGCCTGCAGGACGTCTACCGGCACATCGGTCAGCAAACAATTAGCTTAATAAGCCACGTGGGGGTAATGTGCTCACTTTAAACTTCGCCGCCCTATAAAACCATAACGAGGAAGACAGAGATAAAAACGCAGTCGTATACTATAACTAATATATTAACATAGAAATACAAGCTTTGGCTATAATTAGGAACACTTTGAAAAATCAGTTTAAAAAAACAGTTAATGACTATATTTACTATACAATCAAATGTCAAAATTGCGTCGATATATCAACGCATTTTGGACCTTTTATTTGATTAACTGATGAGAAGCTATCATATCACAGAAACATCTATGAAAACAAGACTCTAGTTTCTGAGTTATAAGAAAGTGACCATGATACCCTCACGTTCATGCTAAGCTCCGTAAATGCTCAAACGATTTTAATGCAATTATGTAAATGTGTATATTTATTTCTTGATCCAACTTGAGTAATAAGAGTTTTTATCCCGATATATTTTTTATTGCGAATTTAAGGATTTTAGAAAAGGCTAAAAGGTCATCGAAAAGGGCAGAAAAAGGTGTGCCTGGCCAGCTAGTTTTTTTTTATACAATTCAAGTAACGAATAAATTTACAGTCTACCTGATGGTAAGTTACAAACCACATATTCAAACCAAACGGTTTGCTTCGTCGTTCTTTATTCGCATAGCAAACGAAGGCAATAATTTGCCAGCATTTGTCTTTCCATCCGATTATAATGTAGGGGTCTTCAAGCCAAGAGTAAAGCTAAGTCAGTACGCTTTACCATCTTCATGACCACTTGCCATCAGGTGGGATAGTAGTGACACAATGGCTGCGTTTGGCAGAAAAAACCGCTAGAAAGCGCTTGTAAGCAAAATGGCGATCGTAAGCGGTAAGCGCTATCAAATCGTAAGTAGCTATTTTCCTCTAGGACACGAAGTTTGTTTTAACCGGGGAACCTAACCTAATTTAAATATATGTTTGTAAAGTATTCATATTAAAAACTTACCAATCATGAATTTTTAATAGCATGTATAATATCTTTATTCATGTCATTTATGTCATTATGTAATATTACTAAAACAAACACAAAACAACTATAAACTCACCAAAAATCGTAACATGATTCCCTTTCACCTTTCAATTCATGCAGGAATTATAAACTAATTAAAAACTAAGTAAATTTCCCCGATCTCGTCCCATCGGACGATGACAGTAAACGAATAGAGAATTCACCTGTGTTTGCGCATGCGCTGGGGCAACATAATTCTGTCCTGCGCAGATCGCTAATATTGGATGAGACTGGCCGCCGCGACCAAATTCGGTTTGGGGGACTTTAATCAAAACGGAACACATGCACCTTGACGTAACTCAAGGAGAGGGAACACAGTAAAGACATACTCCTTTTTTTACTTTTTTATAGCCCAAAACGGTCCATCATTGGACTTATGCCTATCCTACTGTAGGTAAGAATTTCCAAAATCGCCGCGCTTGACGATCGCATCACCAGACGTTTCGTACTTTTGACGCTGATTTCTGTTACCGATGTGGATATTTTACATGCGGTCAGAAGATGCTGCTACTCATCTCCTCTCTAATATCCCTCCGTCGCCTCCTATAACACCCACTAAATGATCTCGGTTAATGGATTCTGCATGGCCACTATACGATGCCTTATAACATTACTACTACCACTACTACTAAATCATTTATCAAAAAACTTAACCAATAGTAATGGATTTTGACTATTTAATATACCTTAAGTGGATGTCACTTATTTGTTTTTATGCTCCGATGATATATCTTATTACTTTTGTCTAATGTAACTTACAATGACGTATATTTGTGACAGATTACATAAGAAGGAAAATATGAGGCACTCTGAAGACGTATTTTTATATTGTGTGTATTATTTCAGGCTACTGTCCCCAATTCGACGCACTGTTGGACAATTTGACGGCAAGAGAAACACTCCGAATTTTCTGTTTACTACGCGGCATCCCAGTGAAAGTTGGATCTACAAGAGCCCTGCATTTGGCCGGAATGCTCGGCTTTACAAAACATTACGATAAGAAGGTCTGTGTTTTAATAGTGTTCAAAATACGTGAAGATTCTATATTCGGCGCGTATGTTTTTTTATGTATACACTGATTTCTCGTAAGCGGCTGAACAAAATTTAAATGATTCTTTTTTTTAAATAGTTATTATTTATACATCATCATGTATCATTGTAGTCTGACTTTTTAAATTAAACTGTCCGTCCGAGTTGTAGATAGTTGCTGCCTGCTACATATTAATGGGTAACAGGTGATAGGAGTCCTTTGCTGCCAGTTCCATATCAGTGCTGGCATTGCTGTGTTCCTGTCTTAGTGTGGTTTTACAGCGACGCTTACTGTTAGCGCGGGCGGTAAGTGCGGTCCGTAAGCGCGCGGCTGACCCGCACGAAACTATAAAACGAGCTTAGGGTCCCGCGGTTTGCTGCCACGTACAGTCGTGATCGGTTTGTCGTGATGAGACTTTTCGCATTTATTATTCTATATTACATATGGAAATAAAGTCAACGATGACGACGTATACAAATATATCCTTACAATGCCACTAGACTGCTGGGACACACTTTCTCTACATCGTTTATGAAACGCGCGGCGGAATTGATGCCAGCGCGGGCCATCCGCGCGTGTTGGTACACTATGAAACGATCCAAGCGACGCAACGCTCGTGGCCGGCGACGCTTATCAACCGCGCTGGCGAAAGCGTCACTGTAAAACCACACTTAAGAGTATATAGAACCAGCATAGTTACACGCTGTAGGCATTCCATCTTGGTCCTTAGAGGTGACCACATCTGTAGCTTTTGTTTAAAGTTGTTTGGTGTTAATTTTGACGTGGTAGAGCCATGCTGCAACCATTCACTTATATATTACTACCGTAAGGACCGGGCCGACCGCGCAACTAAATCGCACCAGTGCACTGGCCCTAAAATGACAGTTTAGGGCCAACTCGACTTCGTCAACAGTGGTGCGTGCGCAGGACAGATTTGCCTGTCATAAATATGCTTAGTTGGTAAAAGGATGCAAAAATTACGATACAACGAACATGAGATATCGTATCATCGGTAAATAACCTTATATTAATTTTGTTACAATTTAATTATTATATTAACGCATTTTTTAATTTTATTTTACAGTTTGTTTAGTTACGTTACCAAGGTTTTTGAGGTTTGAGACCCTCAAAAATATTGTACATGGAGAATATAATTATACTATTTGTCAAAAATTATATCACGTTTGACATTTTATGTTTCTTTTTTCCCATGTGCCGGGATTTTGGCGTCACGTGTCTAGTTTGTCTATATGTTTCGTTTCTTAACGGTTTTATTTTTATTTTTGTCTAAAGAACTTATTGCAAGTTAAATTTCTAACATTCCACCTAATATATTTTATATTCAATAAGGGTAAAACGAAAAGAGTACAAAAGAAACGATACCTACTGAATTGAAACTGAAAATCTGATTCACAAAATATTATGAAATTCTGTTTTCAAACCGATTGCTTCTGGAGCATAGAGTTTTTATCGTGATAGCCCAATATTATAATTGTTTCAAGGATGCAACGTAAATGCATCGATCGAACACCGATTGACCGGAAAGGGAGCTATTGCTAATATTATTTAGAAAAAAACGCGGTACTCATGCACAATACTGAAATTCTCGATAACGTAGGGTTAATATTAAAAAGTAAAAGGACCCAATAATTATACATGTCGGTCGACGTTAAGGTAAAATTATGGTATTTCGCTTAGTATTATTACGATATACATACTATACACTGTGAAATAATGATACAAATAAAATAATTATCCTACGAAATCCGACCCTGGTCACGTCGTGTTATGACGTTTGTATGACAGATGCGCTACTTTTTCTTGTATGAAGAAGTTTTAAGTAAAATATTTAGATGGGCGTATCCTTCCTTTTGAAATCATTGGCTGCTACAATGTTTATGGTGAACACGAAGGCGTCGACTCGACCACGCTCTCACAGAATACCAGCGTTAAATAGCCACTTAATGCTGTGTTTCATATGGTGAGTGTACAAAACCGAATACCGGAAACCCCTTTTTGCTGGAACTCGTTTCCAGAAAAAAGGGTTTCCGGTTTTGTACATATTTCATCTTAGTCCTCAGGGGTGATAATACATCTCTGTATTTTGTTTCTAAATGGAATGAAACGATCAGTCACTGCGCTACCGAGCCCTAGAAATTGTATGTGTGTTAACTTAGTGTTATATTACTTTAGATTTACGAATGCAGCGGTGGCACAAAAAGAAAAGTGAGCACAGCACTGGCTCTACTGGGTGACTCGCCACTTGTTTTCTTGGATGAACCAACCACAGGTACGTAATTTGATTTTTGTATGATTAACGTCGAGATTGCATCTTACTTTATTCTATATATCTTACAGTGGTGGTCTACTTATTCAAAAGAGTGAGTTTAAATCACTGACCTCTATATATACAAGTACGCTGGACTAGCTATACACCGTGACATGATGAAGCGATTTGATTTCCGCCATTTTAGCGTTGACATCAGAAGTGCACGTCCACGGAACTAATACTAGGGATAAGACAGTGTACCAAATTATATCGATAAAAATTCTATACCTATACCTAAATAAATAGAATGGACTCTATGGATAGATGGACTCTACCAGGAACGTCCATTCTATTTATGTATCATATTAATATAATGCAATTATCATTCATCATCATTAAAACCCTTCACAAATTCACTGCTGAACAGAGGCCTCCCCCAAGGAATGCCACAAAGCAGGGTCCTGAGCTACCTGCATCCACCAACTTCCTACATGTCTTACCAGGTTTTGACTCCATCTAATGGGGGAACGTCCTACACTTCACCTGCCAATACGAGGCTGCCACTCGAGAACCTTTTTTCCCCATCGGTATTCGGTTCTTCGAGCTATATGGCCGGTCAATTGCCACTTCAGCTTACTAATCCATTGGGCGATGTCGGTCACTCTGGTTCTGCTGCAGATATCCTCATTCCTAAGTTTGAACCCCTGAGCATAGCCCTCTTCATAGCTCGTTGAGCGACTTCGAGCTTCTTCAATCCTCATACGGCCAGCAGTGAAAGACCTCGTCTCAGATCCATATTTCATCACTGGCAACACGCATTGGTTTTACAATCTAGTTTTGAGCTATTCCTGATGAGAAGATGTGTTGTAATCTCTTGAACGCTGCCCAGCCGAGTTGGATCCGTCGATTGACCTTCAAGTTCAACTTGGACCGACAGGTCAATCAACGGACCTACCTAGTCGGACTATTTGTCCTAATAAAAATACTCATCAACAACTTCAGCTAAGTGCTCCCAAAAACCACCGGCATAGGTGTAACATTACACATGACTTTTGTTTTGTCCATGTTCATCTTAAGATCTATCCGTTGGGAGACACTATTGATGTCATTGAACATAGTACGTAGGTCCTGCAGCGATTGTGCCATAAGGACTATATTGTCGGCAAATCGAAGGTGAGAGACGTACACGACATTGACGTTAATACCGTATCCTTTCCAGTCCAATAGGTTGAAAACGTTTTCCAATGCAGCGGTAAAGTATATCGGGGATATTACGTCACCCTGTCTTACACATCTCTACAGTTGGATTAGTTTTGTACTATGGTTATGTACTCGGATAGTCATCATAGCCCACAACCATTCAACTAAAAAATTATTAAGATTAAACTTAGTACACAAAATAAAAATAAAAACATAATTTCTAGAATAATGTATTGTCAACCGTTCATTTTGTTTTAGTATTATAAAAAACAAATCAGCTGCTATAATAGCTGCTATAATAACGCCTAATTATTAAGATTAAACTTAGTACACAAAATAAAAATAAAAACATAATTTCTAGAATAATTTATTGTCAACGGTTCATTTTCTTTTAGTATTATAAAAAACAAATCAGCTGCTATAATAACGCCTATTTATTCTAATAATGTCTATTGACAGTAAAATATTTTCTACTATATAAAAATTTGTGTTTGTTCGTACTTTCTACGATGCCATACCGTTCATCAGATTACGGTAAAACTTAGTCAACTTATTGGTTGCACTTGTGCGAAGGTTATACGCATGGTACAATTAACTGACACTAGGTGGCGTGCGTATTATACTGACTATTTATATGAAAGTTATAGAAAGTTATATATCATTCTATTTCAATGATTGTATTATCATTCCTAATTATACAATATAACTGTTCCACATTTTTACACGATATTTCCACAATTATTTCTTCTGTGACAGCAATGCGCCGGGTATGAGCTAGCAAGATAATATAAAAAATATAAACTTTGAATTGTATAGTTATCAGTTATTTACCACGTTATTTTCGAAATTAAAATTACAATATTAAAAAAAAATAACTGAAATTATCAATTACCGAGCCCGATATGTGAATGGAGCCAGGGAAAAACGAGCACTTGGAAGCATCAAGTGGTGCAGCCTCACCAAAGTCGCGAAAAACAGTCGGGTGGCGCATCGCCAGTCGCCATACCAACACTCCTCTTCCCTTACGACTCCTCCTCGACTACAGCGGTATAGGGAGAGGAATCTCCTCTAGCCGCAGCCCACTAACACACATCCAACGTGGCTCGACATCATCAGGCAACCTTTCGACACTTGGCTATGGCCCTTGAGTTTGGTGGAAAATGATGAAAAAAGAAATAAAAAAAAACATTCGAAATAATAATCTAATACTTCGTACTTGGTAGCTGGTAGTGCTTGGTGCTGGTACTACCAGAAAATATTGTCGGTATACTGCACTTTTTTAAAGTGGTGCAGTTCTCATGTCTAATAAAACAGTCGTCTGTGAAATGTTTGGAACAAATATGGTCATTTTGTTTCGGACGCCAATTCACAATATTTATGATTTTAAGCCATAATTTTAGTCTAGGTTCAGTTGGAAACCTGTTAATTAATAAACATTAGATAATCATCTGTTGTTGGTGACTTTGCTTGTTAACAGATATGGGTAGGAAAGAACATCGATAAGTAAGGAACTCGACAACCCTATTAAATTTTATTGTTTATCAAAACTCAGTAATATACAGCCAAACATGTTGGTATATATGATATTAAGATTAGTAACAAATTTCTAAGTACTTATATTATCAAATAGTTTCAATTTGTTTAATATTTACTGCAAATTCACTTACTTGTGAAATGTTATACCACTTCCCTTTTGGTAACGAATTTTACAGATTACGCACCCTCTCATTATTAATAAAAATAATTCTTATTATGTAACTAATATTAAACACAATCAAATAACATAAAATACTTTTTTTTAGTTTAAAAGTTCAAAATACAGACTTATTAAATATGGCAATAAGACAACATACTTTGGCATATTATGTCAATTTTATTTTTCAAGACATCCTTTAGCGGGCTTCAAATTGGCACAGTCATTTCGTATGGTATAGCCAGTCCAGCGTACTTGTATATATAGAGGTCAGTGGTTTAAATACTGAGCGCCTTAATATGACTTATGGAAAAAATGGAAACTCATTCATAGTTTAGTCCATTCCATTTCGTTCTGATATTAAAAAAGTCACAGACGATCACAATTTGTTCTGTAGCTATTATCGTAAACTTCTGAACGACTTGACCGTTACACATATTTGGCTTTGTCTAGATGATGGTTTGGTTAGATCCTAGCCGGTAGGTGGCGCTGAATTGTTTCTCTATAATTAACAAAGAAAATCACAAAATGCTGCCCTTTTTGGTGATGATTTGGCTTCTAGTCGAGTTATTAATAGTTATTATATTTACATTGTAAAAAATCCTGAATTCGGAGTAAAACACATCACGCCACCTGCCGAAAAGTGCAGAAAAACAGCCTGGCTAGCTAGTACTCGTATAAAACCTATGCATCCCTGTCGTTTGTTAAAATTCTTGTTTCGGTGTCGCTGTCCAACGTTATAGACATGTGTCAATCATGCATGATTCGTTCGTTTATGGTGGTACACTTTAAAGTATTGATGGTTCATTGATTTGTTTTTGAATGTACCAGTACAACCAATCACAAACCGTTGACGGTACCTTTTTAACCCGCGATTTGTTTGAACTGTGAATGAGGCGCAAACCAACCGAATCCTGAATGATCTGAATAAACAGGCGAATCGAATTAACAATGCAGACTGCAGAGCATAGAGTAGAGTAATATATACACAGAACACCATTACTCCTAGCGGAGAATATATACGGAAACTGCAGAGTATCAGGAGTATTTATTATTTACGGGTTTTTTATTATAATATTGATACCTAAATTTAAAATTATGTTACATTTTATTTTATTTATTTGTTAAATCTATGAGTTAAAAATATCATTTCGTAGAGTTTATTAAAAATAAAACTTCAAAAGATTTTCATGATAAATGATTTATTGATAATTTTCAACCATCTTACATAAGATAGGTAATGTGGTAATAAATGTTACAATCCCTATTTTTAGACATGTAAAGTAAGATTAAATTGTGTACTGTTAGGAATTAAATTTAAGAATAAAAATTTTTATTAAATATTTAAAATATATGATAACTTGAAGTTGTTGTGTTTATGCCATCTAGTGTCGATTGTTCTTACCACCTTGAAAGATAGTAAGTTTTAGTTCGATAATTTTCAATTATTACCTATAGCATATGTAGTAGATGACGCTATTACAAATCTCAAATAGAAAATGTTCGGTTCCCAATGGATCTCACAGACTCACAGAGTACTGGAGCCTGAAATGATCCATTTGAATGATCGATCCGAATGTACTAGTACGCGTGACGAAATTTACTAGAATGATCCGTTCGCTAGAAATAAGTGATTACACATTCTACAACGTTACTATATATATTAGGAATGGATCCGGCTTCGAAGCGCCTCGTGTGGTCCGCCATTAACGAGGCGGTGATAGCGGGCCGCAGCGTCGTGCTCACGTCTCACAGCATGGAGGAGTGCGAGGCGCTTTGTTCGCGTCTCACTGTGATGGTTAACGGACGCCTCTTCTGCCTCGGTCCATTGCAGCATCTTAAGAGCAAGTTCTCGCAAGGTAACTGACTCCAGCAGCAGACCTACCCGTCTGCTTAGTCCTGCTTGTATCTGATTTCTCTATCAACCCGTAAAGATTCCCTAAGATATACTAGAAATGAGCAACCGTCGGCAGCGCCCTTCTGATTCCAACCCGACTGCAGACAGGCAGCAGCCCATGTCCAATCTGTTCCGAGTGTGTTTAGTGGGACATGATGTCTGACATGTTGGAAATTAGCGATCGCAATTTATTTTTGTACCTTTTTTAGAAGAGGAGGAAGATGATAATGACTTGGTTTTATTTTACAAGTATAAAGAGAAAAGACGAAAAGACACGCGTCCTATGTTGAAATGCAGAAGAAGTGAGGTAAAGTACAGTGCGGGATATTGATCCACCTGGTTTATAAGTTTATCTTCCTCGGAATCGGTGACCTCACTTTTTAAGAAAAATTCAACGTGTTGTTGCTCGGGCGTTGGCGGCACTACTGATCTATGATCTGGCTACAGTGTCGTCTGCCGCTAAGCATATGACGTATCGCTAGCTACGGAACGTATTACATAGAACTACATAGAAACCAGTTGTGTCGCGACGACACGTCGCTTGCTGCTGCTGTCTGCAGGGCTACGGAATTGTATCTTAAGGGTGTCAAACGAGCACGCTGTCCACCTGATGGTAAGTGGATACTGCATACTGCACTAGATGCCTGGCTCATAGACATCTATATCTGTCCTCGATTATGAATCAAAATGGAGATGCATTGTCACATTTAAGGATTAATATGAAATGCTTCGTTTCCAGTAAAAAGGGTCTCCGGCTCTCTGCACTCACCATACGAAACAGTAGCATTGAGCTGCTATGTTACGCTGGTTATTTTGTGAAAGCGTGGTTCTTCATTAGTTGAGCCGACCCATTCGCGCTACAACCATAATATAGATGCAGCTTGGATCTGCCACATATAAAATTAACTTTGATCTGCAGGTGGATTATCTAGAGCTCCCACCCGCCCTCTGGCTGCTAAAATACGTATTTCGCAATTTGGCTTATACTTCACGATTTTATCGACATCTATCTGAGACCATGAGATCTTGTGGCGACATACATTGCGTCACAATAGGGTAAATGGACTGAACAACGAACGGAGCCTTAATCACGCTTACAATGTTTCCAAACGACTGCATAGGGCGTGTTGCATGCATTACGTGTTGCGGATATTTCGCAAACCTGCATCCACGGAAGTAAAAAGTTCTGCATCTACAAACATCCCCACTTAGCGTATGGAACATGCTTGCCTTTTCCTTCGCCTGCCAAAACATATTTGGCATTTTGAGTCACGGCTAATTTTGGATATTAAAAGTCCAGACCTTACATTATATTACTTTTTATGCATTTGCAGGTTATACGCTTATAGTAAAATGCAAATCCGGTCCAGACAGAGACAATAATGTTGCCACCATTAACCAACATATATTAGAAAATTTCAAGGAAGCGAAACTAATGTAAGTTATTAGTTATGTACAACTTCATGAAAACTATAAAAGCTTTTTTTTGATAAAATAGGGAGACAATCGAGCACACAGTCCACCTGATGGTAAGTGGTTGCTGTGGCCCATAGATATCTATATCTACCCTCGATTACGAATTAAAATGCAGATGCGTTGTCTCCCTTGAGGACTAAGATGAAAGGCCTCATTTCTAGTAAAAATGGGTCCCCACACACTTTCATGCAAATCACAGCATCGTTAAGCTGCTATTTCACGCTGGTATTCTGTGAGGGCGTGGCCCTTCCCCGGTCGAGCCGACCCATTCGTGCTACAACTACACTACTAATGTAGCTGCAGCGTCGCTCTACCACGTATAGCTTATAATAACAACTTTAATACAACATTGCGTTTTTGTCATATAATATCATCTGCATAGCGGATATAAAAATGCCGCTCAATACAGTTCGCTGACAATGTACTGCCACATAAATAACACTACTGTTACTGCCTATCAAAATACAAAGATCACTGCTTAACATAAGCCTCCCCTATAGATTGCCTCATAGGAAGAATATTTATCATTATGCTATAATTGCCACGTTGGCAGCCAGATTGTCAAATAACACTTATAAGATTGAAATTCTTTATAAATATCTTATATTCGCTTCTGGAAATAGACATTTTGGAGAGTACGTCAAATGACGTACGTTACTCGTATTTCTCCAAAGATTTAATCAGCCTGAGCTTGGTGACCCAAAAAGGCATTGACAAGCGTAGAGCCAACGCACTCACTCCGGCAATGCAATCCTGCTCCCGATCACCAACCTGTGAAATTTGATTTGAGCGTTTTTTGATGAATTTTCCTCCAGTATATCCTGAATGTCTCGTTCGCCAATCGACATACCGGATGATGTTATCATTCGGAGAAACATTTACTTTCAGAAATAGTGTAAATAGTTAGTTAAAATGTTATCAAAAGTTCGGCGACTAAATTTTTTCCAAGTCGTTCAAGTATGTACGAGGGTGGATTGAAAAGTACTCGGCCTAACACAGATCCATTCAATTCTAAAAATCAAATCTACCCACATTATTTAGTTCAGTTCAGACTAGTTCATTGTGTGAAGTTCGAAACGTGTGCGATAATTAGTTGTGATTTTATAAATTTATTAACAAAGTAATCGGACATAATTTCCGCGAATGGAGCAAATCGAGCAGCGTGCCGTCTATAAGTACCTCCATAAGAAGGGGATATCATCAAAAGCCATCCATGATGACATGGTCAGTACATTAGGCGATTGTGCTCTGTCATATTCATCCGTCAAAAAATGGATAGCAGAATTTAAGCGTGGTAGAGAGAGTGTGAAAGATGAACCCCGCTCTGGAAGGCCTTCGACGTCAACTACTGACGAAAATATTAAAAAAGTACTCGATTTAATAATGGGAGACCGCAGATTAAAAATTAGAGAGATAGCCGAGATTATAGGCATCTCTTATGAACGAACTCAAAACATCATTGTCAACGAGTTGGGTTTCCACAAGGTGTCTGCGAGGTGGGTTCCGCGACTGCTTTCAGTTGAACAAAAAAGGACGCGATTGACTATTACGCGACTGTTTGGAGTTATTTGAAGCCGATGCAGATGATTTTTTGAATCGTTTTGTTACTATGGACGAAACATGGGTTCATTACTGTACACCGGAAACAAAACAACAATCAAAACAGTGGAGAAGACCTGGTTCACCACCCCCTAAAAAGGCTAAGTCGATTTTGTCGGCAAATAAGGTGATGGCTTCAGTATTCTGGGACTCGAAAGGTGTGATTATGATTGATTATCTTGAAAGGGGTCAGACTATAAACTCTGGTTACTACTGCACCTTACTACGTCGTTTACGAGAGGAAATAAAAGAAAAACGTCGAGGAATGCTCAGAAGAAAAGTCCTGTTTCATCAAGATAACGCCCGTGTTCACACGTCAGTACAGTCAATGGCTGAAATTCACAACTGTGGCTTTGAACTGTTACCGCATCCGCCGTATTCACCTGATCTGGCACCATCAGACTTCTTTCTGTTCCCTAACCTAAAAAAGCACTTGGGAGGTCAAAGATTTTCGACAAACGACGAGGTCAAAGCAGCTGTAGACGCATATTTTGACTCTAAGGAAGAATCATTTTTTTTCAACGGTCTAAATGCTTGGAAGGGGAGGTGGCAAAAGTGTATTGAACTTGATGGTGATTATGTAGAAAAATAAAAATATAACTGATTTAGTATGTGTTTATTTTCTTGGTTAGGCCGAGTACTTTTCAATCCACCCTCGTATGTATGTTCCCTTCGACTTTAATATTTCGTTGCTGTCATTGATGTAAACATAAAGAAAATAAGATACGCTCGTACGTACGTTATAAATTCGAAAACTAGACTACGTGCACAACGAACATAAATATAGCCACCCATTTGAATACTCAAAGCCCATACGAAATTAACAAAAAACAGAAATAATATATTCTGACTGTAATACGAGCGAGATGTCTATTAGACGTCCGGATTCGTATATATAATCTCATAATAATCAAAAATTTAAATAAAAAGACGTGTGGCACTCGTGGACTGCCGCGGTAAAGCTATTGCATAGCATTTTGTATTAACTTATGCAATTATAATTATTTATTTATTTTATTTATGCAGTATTTCTTTTTCTTTGATATTAATTCAAGTTACACTTTTTGAGCGTGGTGACCGATAAGAAAACAATTTTTTTTCTTTTTATTAAATAAATAAATAATAAATGCACTTTGTTCATTCATATTCAAAACACTTTATACACAAATTTTACAAGTACAGCTATTCACTGTTGTACATAAATACCTATACACCTAATATACTTTCTCATAAACAGCTGCTTATGTATTCGTCCGATTTCGGAGCAGCTCGTCTCGATTCGTGCGAGCTTCGTGGAGTCGTACAATACGTCTAGTTGCACGCACACAAACACCGTGTCGAAGACTACCGAAAAGAAACGACGTTAGACAATGCACGGCCTTCAAGCCACACCTCCGTGCCCGTCGGAGTGGGGGAGCGTGAGGTTTTTTCGTTACGAAATTTCTGGATTCGGTCCCCGCGCTCAAGGCCCGCGATAGAAGCTATGCAATAGCTTAAAAGTTTTAATTAACATTAAATCGTCCAAAGCGTATTTATTTTAGCGATTATCTCTATTCGATTACATCGAAACTCATAGTAAGTTGTTAACGGCCAATATTCAAACGCTACTCAATTATTCGTGCGAGCTTCGTGGAGTCGTACAATACGTCTAGTTGCACGCACACAAACACCGTGTCGAAGACTACCGAAAAGAAACGACGTTAGACAATGCACGGCCTTCAAGCCACACCTCCGTGCCCGTCGGAGTGGGGAGCGTGAGGTTTTTTTCGTTACGAAATTTCTGGATTCGGTCCCCGCGCTCAAGGCCCGCGATAGAAGCTATGCAATAGCTTAAAAGTTTTAATTAACATTAAATCGTCCAAAGCGTATTTATTTTAGCGATTATCTCTATTCGATTACATCGAAACTCATAGTAAGTTGTTAACGGCCAATATTCAAACGCTACTCAATTTAAGTCTCGTGGTGTCACAGTCACTTTAACTTAAAGTGATAGAGACAGCACGAGCCTTAACGACATTTTAAAATTGATCAGCGTTTGAGTGTTTGGGTATAGCAGTCATAACTGCTTTGTTAAAGGTCTACATAAATAAAGGTATCAGATTTGACATACTTAGTATTCTTAGTTATTTATAGTCACACTTCTTAGTTCTTAGTTTGTTATATTCCACATTTTGGAACTGACCCTCCCCCCTTTTTTTTTTTAATAGTTCTGTTGATTTATATCTGTTAAATAATTATACAGTGAAACATACCTGGGCATCAGCACGTACTACATAAAAGACATCAACTTGCCGTGGTGGCGCGTGTTTCACATCATGGAGGAAGGTCGGCTGCAGTTTCCTATAGAAGACTACTCTGTCGCACAAACCACGCTCGAACAAGTTTTCCTCGGTTTCACGAGAATGCAAGGTAACAAAGAGTAATACTCAATAGTTAAAAATTATCGCACTTCATCAAAAGTTGACACGTCACAGGTACAAATATTTTTTCCAAGGTTTTGCTTGTATTGTTTTGCTATGTAAAAGCGAAAATCATTTATCAAGTTTGTTTTATTTTTACGTTAAAATATTTTTTACAAAGTAATGTCGAATAGTAATCAGTTTTAGTATAAATTTAGTTCAATTTTATATTATTTTTATTGTTTACGGTTTAAATAAACAATACTTAATATATTTTGCGTATTCGCGTAGGCATCATGCCATGAAATTTATACTACTTAAAACAGTGACTGAGATAATACTATCAAACACTCCTAAAAGACCTCATTTATATGAATCTCTATGATATAATAGCTGAATTTTAATAGAGTATTTACGCTAAATGTTTATCTCAACTTTTCTAGTACTTACAGATGTGTAAAACTCAATGTTAATTATTTTGTATTGGTGTTTCATGTTTAGGTGTGTATTTGGAACAATGTATGTATTAGTGTTGTTAACAAGATTTACTGTAATTGACGGAATTAAAATTAATATAGATATACTCAAATTAATTGAACAATAAATAAAATGATATATTTATACTATTCGTTTTCTATAAAATATAACTTGATATGCATTACAGTTTCAATGGAAATTCATTTTTGTAAATTTAAAGTAACATAAAAAATGTTTTATAAGACTGTTTCTCACGAAACATAGATTTTTTATTAGTACTTAAAATCTGATTTGAAAAGTCTATATAATCTATATTAACTTAATAACGCAAAGTAATTTTGTCTGTGTAATAATAAAATGATGAATGAAAATAATGTATAAGTGATGTTGCATCATTGCATGAAAGTATATAATGTAGTCTTTTTCGAAGAAACATACTCTTATGATCTATATGAATAGAGTATGCGAATATACTGTATTTACATTAAATAAATTACATAAATACTCGATTTTTTATTGGTAAATGTTAGTGAATAAAATATACCAAAAATCATGTAATTATTTGTTACAAAAAATATATGTAATTAGTAAATATACAATTGTAGTATTATCTTTAGAGAGAACCGTAAAGCGTATCAATATTATATTTTTGATTGTAATAGCAAAAATGGTAGTTAACTTTCAAGACTGAAAGTGCAGTTCGCCTATTAGCCATTTTAATAATACTTTTTTATAAGGCTTTATGAATGGCTCGTAACTGAAAGCTATATCAAACTGAATTTTGTATTTATTTAGAAAATATAGCGTATTATGTGAAACGTATTATATTTTATGGTACTTATTTAGCAAAAAATATGGTGCTTTAAGAATGGGTGTGCTCAGATGCTGGTAATTAGTTTAATTGGACTATGTTACGTCTTAAAGTACTAACTATGGTGATGAAGTATTTTATTTGGCTAATCATTTCTTTTTAGTTGTATATTAGGGATAATTGGCAAATATATTTACTACACGTTTTAAATTCAAAGAAGTCGGACCAAATCAAAAATTATATTTTATTTTACATAAATATTATTAATTGTTACCAACCCTGCGATACGAAGATAACACGGGTGGAAATTATTAGAAAAATTTAATTATACTTTCTTACAAAAACAACTACTTTTAAAGTACAACTATATTATAATTTAAATCAAAACGCTTAAAGCATTGCTATTTTAGTGTTTAAATAGTACAATTATTGTGATTGTAAAACGAGATCAATAGATAAATATGAATATGGCTGTCTATTAGGTACACAATTAAAATTATATATTCACTGTGTAATATTTGCGAGTCTCTTCATATTTGCACTTATCATTTACAGTGAAGTATTAAAAAAAATTTATATAAGAGGGGGCAAACGAGCACACGGTTTACCTGATATTAATTGACTACCGCCGCCCATGAACAACCGCAACACCAGGGGAATTGCAGGTGGGTTGCCGGCTCTTTAGAAAGGAGTAAGCTCTTTTAAGGGGAAATATAACCTCAAATGGCTTAGCAAGATCCTCCGTTATGCCGAAAATATTGCAGCATTAATTTTGAAATAAATATATGGTAAAGTTGAGGATTAATGTTAAGGACTATGTTAGACGAAAACACGATTTCGTAAAATTTTCTCGATAGAAAAAAAAATCCAAAGTTACCTCCAAAATAAATAATAAACCGCTGTTATTCATAAAATACTTAAAAAAAAGATCATGAAACTTTGCATACTAACTGAACTAACAATAAAGCAGTGCTTATGTTATTTACTTTTTTTAAATACCATTATTTTCACTGTAAATAGTAATTACCTAAACTATAGGCATCTTGAAGCTTGATTCCTGCCGCCCGGTCAGTTTCACTTCGGCCTTTGTAGGGGGAGGTTGTGTCGCTTACGATCAGAATACACATTACGCAACAGGACGACGTAAAATTAAAATGGGAAATAACCGTAATAAAAATAAGAAGCGACTGGGTTGGCGTTAAGAAACAGGCGTAAATATGATAAACATAATGAAATAAGTATCTAACGATCTATCTACTTACGGTATTAGTGATTACAAACATGTCGATAAATAGCATATGACGAGCGGGGAAGTGGGGGCGAAATTAGAATTTGAGCTGACTTACTATATCCTCTTAAATAAAAAGTTTATCTCGAATTCAGAAATTTATCATAGGATATTTGGCTGCAAGAAATTTAAAGGATAGGTTTTTAACGGTCTATTGTTGTCGCGCTGTGCCCGACGGAGAGAGAACTTCAGCTTGGACTGATTATACCTATGAAACTTGGCGAATTCAGCACTGTTGATGTGCTCCCCTGTTTCCTTCTCCAAAACTTCGGATTTTTTTTTTCTGGTAAAGGAAAAATATACATAGTTCACAAGGTTTGTGAACTATGTATGTTTTTCCTTTACTTTTATGTTCGTTAATTTTGCTTGCTGGATCTTTAATAACGGCGATATATATGACGGTATGTATAAACGTCGTCTGAGACTAAGCAAGAATAATAATCATCGTGCGATGCACTTGGTATCTTTCCAGCAAAGTTGAATTAACTTTATCTTAACTTTAAACTTTAAAAAAGGATAACTAAAGAAAAACAAAGCCTTTAATATTACCGGCGTATATAATGTTTTTAAAACTTATGACACTATTACGTTTTATAAGCTAAATGATAATACTAATATAAATAATATTTTACAATGTATCAATAATACCTAACAGCCATATTCATGCTCTATTAAAATAGTACTCGTACATGCACAAACAGTGTTCCAGTATTGTCATTTTATATGACTTCAATGCAATAATTTAATTATGGAATTATTATTTGTGATACGATTTGTGATCAATTTTTCAGCCGCTAATTGCCATGCTTATTTTTTCTCAGTGTTTAATTATAAGATAACTTTCACGCTTATTATAAGATTTTACGTTCCTAATGAAATGGCTAAAGCCATTTGTGTCACAATTTAATCTATTTCTGTATGTACAGTATTATTACTTGAGAACTCAGTATGAAATTTTTGAATCTCCGCACTTGATTTAAAATAATTTTTAGATTGTTTGGTTCTTAACTTAAAATAATGGCTAAAATGTGATACCTGCCATCAATGTTACTTATTTCTGCGTCAGTATTTTGTAAGTATGTACGAACACATCTCGTATTATGTATCGTTGTAGGTTTACAAAACTTTTAATAAAATATAAGGTCTTTACCGAAAACTTGTTTTATTTCAATATTGGCATTCATACAAAAAAATTATAAAAAACCAATACAAACATATAATATATTATATACAAATTATAATATAAACAAAAAAGATACAGTAGGTCCGAACAATATATCGATAACTAAACTGCGTACACTACGCACACAAACTTGGATACAATATTTGAAGTCAACAGAAACTAAACACTATTATCGTAATGTTCTATAACCCGTTTCTGCAATAACATGGCTGATTCATACTGTGTGATTTTAATCTATGGTAACCGCGGTTAACTATGATATATGGACGTTAAACATCTCAGTCCCTCTCCGTGATCATGGGTGCTGTTAAGTGCTTGAAAAGTCGGGAATATAAAAAAGTTAATATACACGATAAATTCCGTAAAAACTAGTTTTATTTAAATGAATAGAGTTCGCGTAAATATAAGAAATCATTATTCAGATTTTGGTATAGTTGTTTTTAATAGTTTGTAATAGTTTACACTTTGTGACAGAAAAAACACAACATATTACAGTCATAATGTAGAATCATTATAAAATAAAACTAATATAAATCTTAACTTTCACATTACACGAAGATAGCAAATTAACACCTCCAAAAAGCTACATAGTTAAATATTCATAGAGACAGGGAAAAAATAAAGATATTCTGTAAGAAAAATAATTATAAAAATATCGTTTACATATATATAATTTGCTTCAATCTAACAGTAGCATTTTTGGATTAAAAATTTGTTTGATTTAATATAAACGTAGAGAGCTTTTAGTATCATCTACATACATCTATAAATTTGTATATCATCACTTTGTACTTAAGTGACTTCGCCCTCCATTAAATTAAAAATTGTATTTTATGAACACAATAAAAAATTTTCGCACTCGCTTATGTAACGATGCATTGTTAAAGTCGTTAAAACCTCAAATGTCATCAATATTTAGTGGAGCTAAATTAACTAATAGCGGGATGTCTACGATGATTGTTGAAGGCCCTCTCTTTGATACTTGGTGAACTGGAGAAAGATCTGCTCGAGAGTTGTCTGCGATATGGTGTAGTCTTCGACTGCAAAGTCTCGTTTGGCGCGCTCTAATATACCGAACATTTTCGACCAGGATATGCTTCGATCAGGTAAATAGTAAGTTAGCAAACCTTGATATTCTTCCCTGAAAAAAAAATCAGTAAACTAAAGCATCAAGACTTCATACAACGTTGTCTTGTGGTGTAAAAGAATTTGTTATAACTGCGCGGAAGAAGCTTATGCAAATTTAATTTAAAAAAGCTACCCTT